TATAAAGTTATTTTTTTTTGTAGTTTTGTAGTACTAACCTATGAGATCAAATGAAGTATAATCTTTTAGACTGACGGACTTCATTTGCTTGAAATGGTTATATATCACTGACAGTTTAAACATTTCAGAAAAGGTTGGATGTCATGTGTGACATCCACCTGAGTGTCTAGATCTGACTAGGCTATTTAAGTAGATGACAAGTTTTCAAGTCAATATTTAGGTTCTGTAACATCTTACAGTGCCTGACAAAAGCATCTGTTAAACAATCAGTCCTGTGTTTAATTTCCTTATCATCTATACTAAAATTACAAATATGTTTTAAATCTTGGTTTATTTTCTAAATATGATCTACTATGAACAACCTTTAACAAATTTGGTCACCAGTTTGTAGACATTTTTGTAGAAGTGATAAAAAAATAACAGGATTTCAAAGGTTGTCTCATGTTCAGTTTTACAGTCTCACCTTTACCTGTTTTTTTTTATATGCTTCTAAATCTAACTGCCAGGTAACTTCAAGATGTCTTTTAAATGATGCCAAATTCTAGAATAACTGCTGTAGCTGCTACAAAAATGGTCTGTTGCTTGCCAGGTGATAAAGAAAAAGATTTTAAAATTGATAATAATGATTTTAGCTTCAAAACAGCAACAAAAAGATTATGACCTGAGCTACAACAAAAATGATAAAGAAGTGAGGAAGGAAAGAAAAAGGAGAAAGAGGTGTAAGACAGGAAAAAAAATGAACACTTGAAAGAAGGGAATAAAGATGGAGCGATGACAAGAGTTAAAAGAGACATGTGAAGAAAAGAGGGAAGGAAAAAGAGGAGGGACAAAAATGGACATAGGAGGGAAGGAAAAGAAAAGGGGCAAATAATTAGAGAAAAAAAGGAGCATGTGAAGGAACGAAAGAAATAAAAAGAAAAGGAAAAACTAATGAGAATAAAAAGGGACATGGGAAGTAAAAAGAAGAGGAACAAAGAATGAAGGAAAAAGGGACTCATGAAGGAATGAGAGAATGAAAATAAAGAGACACAAAGAATGAGAGAAAATGGATATGGGAGGGCAGGAAAAAGGAGAGGAACAAAAATGAAGGAACAAAAGACGCATGAAGGAATGAGAGAATGAAGAAGAAGAGACACAAAGAATGAGAGAAAAATAGATATGAGGAGGCAGGAAAAAGAGGAGGAAGAAAGAATGAGAGAATGAGAGAATGAAAAAGAAGAGACAAAGAATGAGAAAAAACATTTATATGGGAGGGCAGGAAAAAGAAGAGGAAGAAAGAATGAAAGAATGAGAGAATGAGAAAGAAGAGACAAAGAATGAGAAAAAAATGGATATGGGAGGGTAGGAAAAAGAAGAGGAACAAAGAATGAAAGAACAAGGGATCCATGAAGGAATGAGAGAATGAAAAAGAAAAGACACAAAGAATGAGTTAAAAAGGGATAAAGTCAGTTGTGAAAAAGAAGTGGAACAAAGAATTAGATATATATAACATATGTGAAGGAAGGAGGGAAGGAAAAGTAAAGGGACAAAGAATGAGAGAAAAATGCACATGTGAAAGAAGGAAAGAAAGAAAAAGAGGAGCCAAAAATGAGATAAAAAGGCACATGTGTAAGAAAGAAGGAAAAAGAAGAGGAAGATAGGACAAGAGTAAAAAAGAGACATTAAATGGAAGGAAGTGAAGAAAAATAATTTTTTTTCAAAATATAGATACATGAACACTCTGGTCAACAGAAGATGTGTATTTTCACATTCAAAATTTTGTTATTTTATAACAAAAGTTTTTATTTTATTCTTGTGGAATAATTGCTTTATAAAATTTCAGCCTGTCTTGGATTTTGCTTTCATTCTATAATATATTCTTAAAAACAACATTAATAAAACAACATTAATAAAACAACATTAATAAAACAACATTAATACAAAAGTTTTCAGCAATTCATGTGACAAAACCTTTTATTCATATAAATTTGTATTATCATTATTCATTCACCAAAATATTTTCCCTGGCTTTTTATGACCTTAAACCTGCTTCCAGCTATGTTATTTCAAAGAATGATTTCAGTATCAATTCAATGAATTGTTTGAGATCTTCAAATTCTTGGAAGTGCTGACTAGATAATGAATGCTGGTGTGGAGAGTGCAGATGAGCATTGTCATTCAGCAAATTGATAGTTCAATTCCTTTCCCTGAAAAAGCATTTTTCTATTTCAAGGTATCAGTCAAATAAACCAATTTCTCACTATCCAGTAACAGTTGATCTTGCCTTCAGCATTTGTATTCAGGAATTCTATTTTCATCACACAAAATAAAGTCATGTGTCATGTCCCTTCAGAACATGTTTGATCATGGCTCAACACAAATCCCTGTCCTTTGTAGCTCTTAGTAAACATTGTCTTTCCCGTATCCCACCTAAGTCCTGTTCTGCTAACCATTTACACAAGCTAGTTAGGAAGGTTATGTGCTGCTTTTCTGTCTTCCTTCTGCTTTCAGAATGTCCTGTGAGTGTTAAATTTTCTAAGCCCTTTCCTCATTATGTGTCCTAGAAATTTCAAGTATCCCTTTCTGAACTAAGTGTTTTTTTTTGTTTTCTATTTCCTCTAAACTTTGTCATGTTCAGTCCATGATATTATCAGCATCCTTCTGTTGCCTTGAGTCTTTTCTTTCTCTCTGAGGAGATTGTCCAGCATTCACTGCCATATCTGAGGACTGATATTATATAACAGTTCATTACTCCTCTTCTCTTCTCTTTGTTTCTGTTGCCTCAAGTCTCTCCTTCATCTCTGAGAAGATTGCCTGCCATTCACTGCCATATAGGAGGAATGATATTACATAACAGTTAAGTATTCTTTTGTTAGTTTCTAATGAGATTTTCTTGTTTCTTAATACTTTCCTTAATGTTTAGAAAGCATTTTTCACTATCCCTGTGATCTTTCAGCTTTTGATGTACTAAGTATTCCTCATTTTGGATTTTCTTAAATTCATTTTTAGTTCAGAAATGACCATCTTTTTTTTGTGAGAAAAAACAGTGAATCTATGTCACTGTGATTGTAAAGTAACTGAAGTCAAGATGTCAGGACCAATATCATTACAGATGCTTCTTTAGATTTTATCAAGAATCTAGAGATATGTACCAGCAGCACCAGACCAGATGTGTTAGTACTGCATTTGATCTTTTTTAATGAATTTACTACTAGTACTCTGATGGATATTTAAAAACAGCACTGATTCCAGAAGTGGGATCTATAAATGTGGACCAGTGGCTCCACAAGCCTGTCGATCATTTGTTTAATGTGATAAGGAGAATCATGCTGAAAAGGAAGGAAGAATTTTAAGCATAAAATAAAAATTTAAAAAATCCCCTGATGTACGAAAAAAAAGAGGGATAAATAAATGTTTTTAATTTTAAATAATTTTTTTTTGTAAATAGCTTTAAAAAATAAATTTATTCTTTTCTCATGTCTATTTTTAAAGATTAAATTAAAAAAAATGACAGCAAGGCCTCAACAACAGCAGCCGCAGTAGAAAAAGGAGCATCAGTGTGCAAAGTCAAGTCTGAGAAGCAGCAACAGTACTCATCAGCAGGCAGATTTGGCTTGAGTCTTCAAATTCTCCACTCAGAATTGTCCTATGAAAAAATAACCTAGTGGATTACAGAATTGAAAAAGGGCAGTAATAAATAAATAAATAAATAACTGAGCAGTACTAAATAAGAACTATACAAGACATCTACAAAGGTCTCATCTTGTTTTTATGGTGAGAACAATCTACCCTCTTAGATTAAATAAAAAGGTCCAGTTTGAAATTACCTGAGGGTTACCTGGATTGACAAGCACCTGATGAAGGCCAGGCAGTACAATGGTCGAAACATTGTGATAACGACAAAAAAAGACGTGGACAATAGTTTGCATGTAAATAATGTAAATAAATTATTAAAAATCTTTATCCTGCTCAAGGGCTCCACGGTACTAAGAATTTTGGGAAATCTTGCTTTATACTGTTGATGTTACCAAGACGGAATTCATTATTTGTATTCTTCCTCTTTATCTGCTGTGTCCCCTCAGAATTTAGGCAATCATGGCTCTCCACAATTTTATGTTATTTGTAGCTCTTAATAAATGTTGTCTTCTTGTTGCTTCTCCTAAGCCTGTTCTGTCATCCATTAACTGAAGCTCATTATATATATTATGACATTTTAATCTGTCTTGCAAGTATCAGACTTTTCAACACCTCTTACCCCATTATGGGCCCTAGGAATTTCGACTATCTCTTCATGATGTTAAATATAAGTTTCTTTCTGCTTCCATTTTCTTTATAATTTTGTTGTTACTCCTACATTTGGTCCAAGGTATCCTCAGCATCCTTTTGTAGAACCACATTTCTATTACTTCAAGTTTCTTCTTCATCTTTGAGGAGATTATGCAGCATTCACTTCCATATAGGAGGAGGACACATATCACATAACAGTTCAGTACTCCTTTATTTTTTTCTGTTTCTTAATACTCTGCTTAGCTTTTGGAAGACATCAATAGCAAACCTGAAAAAAAACCCAAATGTATTGCACTTTTTTTATTCTAATTTATTGTTCCTTTCATCAAAAACAGGAGAGTTAATCTCTGCATAAGGTAGCAAATTAATCATTTCTGACCTAAAAAATCAAACACTGATGTATTCATGGTATTGACAAGTATATCTATATAAGAAAAAAATAAAAGAAAAAAATTTCTTCATGAAAACAACATTAAAAAAAGAGTAAATAATGCTGATCTATTTGCTTTACTAATCACACTAATTATGAAAAATTAGGTATAATAAAACTGTATTTGCTTTAAAAAAATACACTAATTGTAAAGAGGAGAAAGTGTTCTATTTCCTCAGGCAAAGAAGAAATATTTTTAAAAAAAATGGACAGATGTTTTGTTGTTCATTTAGAACTCAGTGCTTATGGATAAACACAATCTTGAAGAACAGAAGGCAGAGAAGGAGGCATGATATTAAATATGTTAGACTAGCGAGTGTTGTTGAAGAAAAGTGAAAGAATGAGTGGGAATAAAGAAAAAAGAGCAAAGTCGAGCATGAAAGAAGCAAGAGAAAATGTTAAGGAATAAAAGGAAGACACCAAAAAGGCAAACTTGAAATTTTTCAGAATAAAAACAAAGAAAGAAAATGGAGTTTGGACAATTGAGTGTTAATGATGAAGAGGGTAAAAAGAAAACAACAGAGGAGTAGGAAATAATATGTGTTGCGGTTGTTTTGCACTTTCATATGGTTGAGTCACAAATTTTGTAACTGTATAAATACTTTTTGCTAATAGTCCACCATGTGTACTAGGATAGGAAGAGAAGTTTGTTGATGTTTTTCTTCACTGGCTCTCAGTTTGAAAAAAGATGTGTAAATGTATATATGAGTTTGTACATATATAGTCCAGTGTGTTTCTTGTTATCTAGAGAAAAATAATGATTGTGTCGTGGTCACCAACTTGTTGCAAGCCAGTATATATGTTGTGTAGGAGTTGAGAAATAAACACGTGTGTCTCCTGAAATACCCACAACAAATATGGCAGACTCGGGATGTGAGTCTATGTAAAGAAATATAAAAAATGGCAAGAACCAATATATATGTACAAACAAATGATAATGTATTAACAATAAAGATATACAAGTGACATAGACAATAATATGTGTAACAAATGAATGTGAAAAACTTTTTGGTCCAAAGTATGTGTAGTGAGGGAATGCACATATGTACATTTGCATGTGTGTATGATTGTATGTATGTATTTATTTATATTTCATGTGTTTCCCCAAAGGGAACACATTCTCTGTGAGAGGTTATATGTTGACAAATAAGCAGATAAGATCAGTAGAGAATGAGAAAAATATCACAGAATATTTATAGTCTTGAGAGTGTCCCCTACTAATGGTTTTGAAAATGGCGGGGTAACCCAACATATGTTAAGGAATAAAAGAAAGACATCAAGAATGCAGTCTTGAAGAAATGTTCTATACTAAAGACAAAGAAAGAAAGGTCTTTTGGAAAAAGAGTGTTTATGAAAAAAAGAGTGAATGTATGAGTAAGAAAGAGAAAAGAAAAAATAGAGAATAAAAGAGCAGGAAAGAATATGGTAAAGAATAAAAGGAAGGCACCAAGAATGAAACCCTGAAAGAATTTCCCCAGACTAAAAAGAGTGAAAGGAATAAGTACATTTGGAAAGGGAGTGTTAATGGCAGAGAGGATGAAAGGATGAATGGGAAGAAAAAGGAAAGATAAAAATAGAGGAAGAAAGAGGAGGAGAAATGATGGTGAGTAATAAAAGCAATATAACCTTGAAGAAACGTTCCAGATTAAACGCACATAATCTTTATACAGGAAATGTTGAAAAACGGAAGAAAAATGATAAAACAAGATTTAGCTAAATCACAGTAAGAAACAAGGAATCAAAATTAGGAAAAAAAAAAAAATTGACAGCCAAACATTTTTTTAAATTGACACCAAAATGGAAAAAAAAATATCTTTTTAAAAAATTATTTCTTGGCAGATTGCTTTATACAAGAACTATAATTTTTTAAGGTGATTTGCCTGCATTAATAATTTTTTTTTATTTACAAATCAATAATTTAATCTTGAAACAAAGTAAATTGCATTTTTATATAAAGCGATTATATTTTATTATCATTAATTTTTTAAATAGTATTTTTTTATGATTTAGTTCCTTTTCAAACTACATTAGCATTTAGTCCACCTCTTTTAGAAGCAAGATCAATATGGAAATTTGTTATCATAAATATACAAAATAAGGTTGGATATTGCTTTATGAAAGGTTTTGTAACATTTAACAATAGTTTTTTGCTGTTCAGTTAGTGTCCATGATAGAGAATAACTTGAGGATTTAGTTGGACAAATAGACAGTACTTGACTGTATTGGAAGTTGAGTCTACTCTGACATTATATCTTTGGTTTGATTTGTTTTGTTTTATCGCATATCAACCTTAATGGGTCATTTAATACCAACAACTTTTTTTTTTCTTGGTAATATTTTTGTTTTGTTAAAAATTAATTTCTGTTAATATTTTTTTTCTCAAAAATATATAGCTGGTCATATCATTTTTTCAGAAACGTATAGCTGGTAATATTTTTTTTTTTTTCAAAAACATATAGCTGGTAATATTTTTTCTTTCAAAAATGTACAGCTGGCAACATTATTTTTTTCAAAAACGTATTATCAGAGGCCTTACTGTTGGACGTAGTTTATTGTCTTACCCAGAACACGAATGTAGTTTATCGTCATACCCAGGATGCGGATGTAGTTTATCATCATACCCAGGACATGGATGTAGTTTATCATCATATTCCAGACGCCATATGATTGGGCCAGTTGGTAAGTGGTTTATATAGCAGGCTGGAATGTTCTATTCTGTTACTTGGGCAAGCATATTCTCTAGGTTCTGATTGGCTGCTGACTTTGGTGTAGATACTGTGATCAATAAGTATTCATCATTATGCCATGAATACTGGGATCTGTATTTGGTTACAGCTCACTTTCTTTTTGTCTGTCAACTGGAAGCTAGTTGGGAACTTCTCTGTGAGGGTGAGTATCACATTTCTGATTCTTCAGTAACAAACTAAAACAGATTTAAACATGGCGTCATGAAGTAAACAGGTGTTCATTGAATTCTGAAATTATAACGTCTGAGTTTTTCCTTCACACTTAATCCCAGAAAGAATTGTTGTGGCACTGAAATACTGAGCCATCCACTGTTCTCCTCCTTGTATTGTGATTGTGTGCCATAGTTTCTTGGTGTGTTCATCATGTGATGTCTCTTGGGTGTTTTAACCTGGCAAAGCTTATCCCACTCAAGGTTAGACCATGGTCAATGACTTCCATCCAGGTGGCTCACCTTCATTGCAAACATATGGCCATTGTAGTTCATATGAGGAATCCTTCTAGCCTATCCAGTGACCTGCCATCACTCATGAGTTTAGCCCACCAGCTGAAATGCTTTACTGGGGCATGGCAACTTGGAAATATAAGATGAGAGATTTAGGACATGGTTGAGGACCAGTGATGCCCGTCCACCAGAAGGTGTAGCATGCCAAACATCACAAGTACTACCTCTATCCAGAGCCCTATACCCATGTTTATCTAGGACAAACATTTGCCATTATTTACTGTTGTAGCATACCTACAGACGATAATGGCTTATGTCCTCATTTACATAAATACAGTAGTAAATACTGTATGTTGGTCTGCAGTTGGAGATTCGTCTCCAGCTGTGCCAGGCAGAGAGGGTCCCCAGACAAGGCTGTGTTGAAGGGCAGAGTCTCATCTCAGGAAACAGCTACCTGACCCTGTATTATACTGGGTCTATGGGGAATTTTTGGCTGAGCCCATGGGCTCGAATACCCAACATTAAATTCAGCCTTGTGCCACATCTAACCATGTGGGGCGGTTGGTAGATATCATGCAGCTGGAGTTTCATTGTGGAATTTGCTTAAATCATTTCTAGGAGTTGAATACTACTTCTACACACCACTGGCAAGTCTTATATGTGTTGTTCTTGTTCTAAGTATTATCGTTCATTACCAACCTTTGTGTGATTATTCTATTTGGTAACCTTCCCTAGGTTACAACATTTACATTAATACTATTGTCCTAATCTTTGTTGCGGTTATTACAACATTTCATTCATTGTTCCCCTGCCTTCTTCAGGTGTATATCAATCTGAATAGTTTTGAGGGAATTTTTAACTAGACACCTTCATATAAATTACAGGAGGTGTATAGTCTCAGTTTGAGTATGAAAATCAAACTCACTATCCTTGCCTTTTATCCTTTTCCAGAACAGGGAAAAGGAATGTAGCTTCACCCAACTCTTTCACTAAATCTGTCAAATTGTCAGATGTTGGTGTAACTTTTTCCTTGTCTCTCACTTGCCTCTGCTCCATTTCATAAGCTGTCAAAAAATGTCACCTCAAAAGAAAAAAAACATCCAAAAAAAAAAAAAAAAAATGTGCCTCCCTCCTCACTTCTGGCATCTGGCTTCTTTTTTTTTTTGCTGCCAGCTTACCCACAATTTGCATTGCATCCCTATGTCAGTGAAAAGTGATGAATGTGACAGTGTTCAGTTATCATCTTTCTGATTTTTTTTCTTTGGTTAAGTAAATAAAGGTACTTTCTCTCCTTTTTTTTGCTCTTTCTTTTTTCTTCTTCTTCAATCTCAAGGGAGATCATTCTTGTTCCAATGTCCAACAAGACAAGACAACCCCAGGCATGGATAGCAGAATAGAAATAATCTATCTTCCTATAGATTAAATAAATGGCTTAGATCAAAAGAACCTGAAAGGCACTCGGATCGACAGATACCTGAAGCAGGCTGGAAGGCATAATGACAGAATTTTTGTTATGATACCCACAAAGATAAGTATATTCAACTGAATGTAAATAATATAAATATAAATCTACTTGTTCCTTCTTTAGTTAGCAAGACTATTTCACCTGGCCAATACCTCATAGATAATGGCTTATTTTCATTGTGTAGAAAGATGGAAAAGACATATCAAAGGATCTACTTGGTTTCAGTGAGAAAATGAATGGAAGGAAGGAAAAAAAGAAAGAAAGAATGAAAGGTTGAAGTGTTTAATGTCGCCTTCTGATACCTCATGAATAACAGCCTATTCTGTTTTGATTGTGTAGAAAGATAGAAAAGACATAACAGTATAACAGTAAATGCTGGACAATCCCCCAACAGATGAGGAGAATACTGGAGGCAATGGAGATGTGCTCCTTTAGAAGGATACAAAGAATTCTACGGATGGTGCAAGGAAGTACAAAATCATGAAAAGATAGCTGAAAGTATATGGACATATAATGAGGAAAGAGGGCTTGGGAAATTTAAGCTTTGCAGGGCATATTGAGGTAAGAGAGACAGAGGAAGGCAATGTGCCTCCTTTCTGATCAGCTTGTATGAAGAGATGTTGGAATGCTAGTTTTAGCAAATAGAGAAAAACTTCTCTGAGCCACAGGGCATAGAACATTTTGGAGAGCTATGATCATCCATATCCTGAAGGGATGTAGCATATAGAAGATTATAGGTAGAAAAAAAAAGGTAACTCCACAAGTTTGAGAAGAAATTCTGATATTTTTTGTTGTAACCTAGAAAGCCTTACTGCATAAGGAATAACCCAAACAGAGGTTGGAAATGAAATGGTAATCTTTATAACATCAACCAAATACAATACTCACCAGCAGTGTAAAGTAGGTAAACCACTGCTAGTAGTGAACTCCTTAGACAGCATATTACCCCCCACTTACAATAGTGTCCAACATATTTTGAGGATTAGGATATACCCATTAGTGTTCATAGGCTTGGCATATAACAATGTTAAAATTAAATTAGAACAGGCATTAATTTATTCTAACCCCCATAGCATAATAAATGAATAAATTTTAATATTTACTAAAAATAATTGGTGTTTCATTATAATCACTGAGTTGACAGGGATGATAGTGGTTTGGCCATTAAAAATAAATAACTAAAAATGGATTATACTGTCACAAATAATTATAATAAAATAATTATAACCAATTCTAAACATCTGTACAATTATATTGTAAGTAGAGAGGGTTAGTGTAGAAAGGTTTATTCTCCCATTTGTATTTTCCCCATTATGAGCCTTATTATATCTTTGATATAATAACACTGTAGTTCATGGACAGAATAGGAAAAGGAATGACAAACATGTCTTGTTCTCAGAAAGACTTTTATTCTACTAAGACATACACAAAACTATATATTATGAAATGGACAAAGTCTGACAATTATTTTAAGATATTTTTATGTTTATACATTCTTTTTATAGATACAAATATTTAAGTAAATGCTCTGTTTATAATAAACAGTATTAAACATTCAGGCCGGTAAATGTAGTCATTATTGAGTTGGTAGATAGTATTATTTATCTACTTTTCTCAAGATTATTTTTATTATTTATTTTATGAATTAAATGATCTTTATGACATGCATTATAGGAATAAAGCAACAGCTGTATATTGGAACTATAGCTGTATGTACCCCTCCAGACTGGGAGGGGCCACGCCTAATTGGGAGCACTAGGCAGTGCTTTGCAACCATCACTATCTAATCTTGCTTTTTTTCTGCCTACATATATCTATATTTCAAGTTAAACTATTAAAGGAAGAACATTTTTCATGGATTTTTATCTTATTCTGTTTTTTTTGTTTGTCCAAATCTGTAAATTAGTTTTGTTAATGGAAAGTCTCAAAAAACATGATATAAAACACATTATTTTTTATCTATCATGTTAAATATGTTGAAATTATTCAAATTTTTTAACAAGTCGCAAGTTGATGTTAAAAATTACTGCAAAATATTCTTCATTTATTTATACATAATATACATTCTGATCAATTATGACATGTCTCTAAGTTATATTTAGATACATTGTCTTTATTTTCAATTTTTCTAGTTGAATTATTCACCTATATTGCATATGATCCATTATAGTACATAATTAGGTTACTATAAAATTTGTATTTTATATGAGTACTATTATATGAGTTGGTAGGTAGTATTATCTATCTAGTTTTCTCAAAATTATTTTTATCATTTAACACCACAGAACAACTGGTGTCAACCAGATAATAAATAATATTAATTTTGTTGTTTCCACATCTTGCTTTTTCTCATTTTATACAAGTATTTTTGTATAAATAAATATTAGGGGCTTTATAATTATCTACCCAGAGTCCTAACTTCCCTACAATAGCAATGGATCAGGTGTTCTCAGAAAAATAAAGACTGAAATCTATTTGGTTAGATTTGAATGACTGCTATCAGTTGATCTTTCTTGCCTAATCATTAAATAAGTAAATTTATAGTTAAATAAATATTAAAATGGCAGGTTCTTTGTGTGTAGTTTTAAGAATATTCATTTGTATTCTCTTCCTAAATGGCAAAAATATATTGTGAATTAAAAAAAGAAAAAAAAATAGCCAAAGAGAAAAAAAAATGTTTGTGTGTAGAAATGTTGTCCTTTGGGAAACTATTAAAATTGTGCATAATTTGATTTTTTCTTCACACTTATGTAAATTCAGAAAGATGCAAGGTAATTGCTAAAACTCTAAGAAAAGATGTTCTACTAAATAATTTTGTTCTATTCAATAATTTACACTGTGTCATATTCTTAAATTGTAAATATGCCCTGTGGAATTTCGGTCTTATTTAAAATTACATAAATTACAAAAACTAACTTATACCAAAGCAGATTCATCAATACTAATGTGAGCTTGTGATAAAATGGCACAAGATCACATGACAAAAACTAACTTATACCAAAAGAATTGTCTTTTGAAGCAAAAATGACTCAAGAAAAATCCATTATATGCACTGCCAACAATTTTATTACCTGGATTCAACAAAGACATAATATCAGTATTACTGTGAGCTTGTGATAAGTGGGCACAAGATCATAATTTTTGAGCTCCCAATATATATGCATATATAAAATTAATAAAATAATATTAAAAAATTATAGTATAAAAAATATGAAACATTCAGAATACTTATCAAAGATCAACTTGGAGTTTAGTGATGATTTACTGATCTTATCTGAATCATGAAGAATGAAGCAGTATGAATGTCTAAGTTGATCTTTGATAAATATTTGATATTTTATATGTGTTTGTGTGTGTGTTTGTGTGTGTGTTTGAGAGAGAGAAAGATATGGTTATTTATAAATATTTTTATTTGCCGAGGATGAAATCTTTTTATCAAAGCAAATTAATATACAAGCTTTACTGTTCTGTACACACTTCTCCCCTGGTCTTTTGAACAGGAATAGAGGTTTATCCCTTGATTTCTCTTTAGGATTGGGCTTCTGGTTCCTTCTAAAGTCTTCTCATTCTCTTTCATTCCCAGTAACCACTCGCATCTTTGTGGCATTATTGCCTTGCTTGGGGTGAATTGATAAATAAGCACACACACGCAAATTGACTTTTCTAAGAATTTTTAGACTGTTTCTTTCTCAAATATTTTACCTAAGCAATCAATATATTGCCAATCATGGCTGATGCAGGGATCGCCTGCTCCCCACCCTAAATCTGTGATATGGGGCACCCCCACTTTGCTACATCGCAATTTTTCTGATAGTACTCATATAAAATACAATTTTTATAGTTACCGAATTATGTACAATAATGGATCATATGCAATATAGGTGAACAATTCAACTAGAAAAATTGCAAATAAATACAACGTATTTAAGTAGAAAACAGAGACACATCGTAATCATGAGCAAACCTAATTTACAGATTTGGACGAAAAAAAACAAGAATAACATAACAATCCATGAAAGATTTTCATCCTTTAATAGTCAGTTGTGCTTAGATTAATTTGAAATATATATAAATTTAGGTAGAAAAAAGCAAGATAAGACAGTGAGGGTCGCAAAGCATGGCCCAGTGCTGCCACTTAGGCTTGGCCCCTCCTAGTCTGAGGTAGTACATTTTCTGGGGTAGTTTTTATTTTTCTGTGAACACCTGATTCATTGCTATTGTAGAGAACTTAGGACTCTGGGTAGATAATTATAAAGCCCCTAATATTTATTTATATAAAAATACTTGTATAAAATGAGAAAAAGCAAGATGTGGAAACAACAAAATTAATATTATTTATTATCTGGTTGACACCAGTTGTTCTGTGGTGTCAAATGATAAAAATAATTTTGAGAAAACTAGATAGATAATACTACCTACCAACTCATATAATAGTACTCATATAAAATACAAATTTTATAGTAACCTAATTATGTACTATAATGGATCATATGCAATATAGGTGAATAATTCAACTAGAAAAATTGAAAATAAAGACAATGTATCTAAATATAACTTAGAGACATGTCATAATTGATCAGAATGTATATTATGTATAAATAAATGAAGAATATTTTGCAGTAATTTTTAACATCAACTTGCGACTTGTTAAAAAATTTGAATAATTTCAATATATTTAACATGATAGATAAAAAATAGTGTGTTTTATATAGTGTTTTTTGAGACT